CTCAGATCTCGGCCTGCGAGCGTCACCTGCTCGATGCCTGGCTTGTCAGGGTTGAGCAGCGGCCGAGTCTCTACATGTTCGGGCACCAGGCGGCAGCCCACGCGGGGGATGTCCTCCCAGTGCCTCAGGGCACACAGCGCCACGTGCTCTTCTGTCGGCTTCCTCTGACCTGTGGGTGCGGGTGGGTCAGCGGCACACATGGCCTCAGAAGAACAGGAAACCTGTGCTGGGCTAGACTCAGGGGCACAAAGAGGCCCTGGAGCCATCACCTGTCCATCCTATTTCCTTTCTACTGTTGGGAAACTGAGGCACAGGGGAAGAACTGGCTTGCCCAAGTTCTCAGCTGCCCCATAGGGCCCAGCGAGACCTGTGTTCTTGGGTTTGCTCTGCCTGGGAAACCTGCCCAGAGAATCCCACTGGGCGGTGAGGGCAGGGAGGGCAGGAATCCACTTCCTGGCCCAGCACCCTGAAGGTGGCAAGAGTTCCTCAGCACACATATCTCCCTATTTTCTGGGAAGTGCCACATGGGCAAAGGAGTGGCGAGGGCCCAGGGCTTGGAGTCAGATCTGGGCCCACACCTCACTCTGCCTCTGAAGAGCCATGTGACTTTGGCCAAGTCACTGAAACACTTTGGGTCTCAGTGTCCTCACCTGCAGAATGGGCAGAACCTTTCTACCCCGCAGGAATTCTGAGAGGGAGAGAGAAGACAAGTGGGCAGGTGCAGTGTAGGATGCGGCAGAAGGGCAGAGGCTGGGCAGACAGGGGTGGGACTCTAGGCTGATGGGCAGAGGGTCTAAGGAGACCCCAGTCTAGGCCGCGAAGTCCTGCCACAGGGAAGTGTGGGTTCCTCTTGGCCTCTGCCCGCCCGCCCCCCGTGGCTGTGTCCAGAACCCTGTTACCATTCTCATCCTCCATCTCAGAGGGCCCAGTGAAGACACAGTTGGACACCTTCACTCTCCCAGGGGGCCCAAAATGGGGGCCGTCCACCTTGTTCTCCTTGCAGAGGCGGGTCAGAATCTGGCTGGGCTTCATGGGGTCCCGCCAGATATTGTAGCCATGTCTGTGGGAGGGAGCACACAGGCTTCGTGGGGCTCAGGTGCGGCTGGGCCCATCCCCAGGTGGGAACTGGTTCCAGGCGGTTCTCTTAAGTTGGCTGCTCCCCCGTGTCAGCAAGTGGGCCCCACCTGAGACACTAGGGCTGCTGGAGGCTGATCCCTCCGACCCCAGGCTCCAGCCTCACATGCCCGGTGTCCAAGCATGAGCTTTCAGCCTCCCCCAGCATAGCCCAACCCATTCCCCAACTGTGCCCTCTCCTCTGGTACTTTGAAGACTCCCATGAGGACACTGAAAGCCAGAGAGGGTAGGGATGTGACGAGAGTCACGCAGCCTGTCAGTGGCAGAGGCTGGCCAGATCCCCGTGGACTCTGTGGAGCAGTGCCGCCTCTCCTCCCAGCCCACGCTTCTCTCCTGCCCCAGCCTCCTCTGTCCTGGAATCCCCTGGCTCTCTCCTTGTCTTAGAAGCTGTGGTCTGCCCAGAGCCTGCAGGAAGGCGGCCTGGCCGGGGACAGAAACCGTTCTAGAGCCATCTTCCCAAATCACAATCTCTAATCTTGTCCTCAGAGTCAGGACGCAGCAGGTGCGCCTTGCCCCGCCCCGCCCCGCCCCGCCCCACGCACAGGGAGTAGGCCTGGGCGATGCCGCAGGTGGCGCGGTGCTTGCTGTAGAAGCGATTCTCCAGGTCGATCTTGGTTTCCCCAATGAGGTCGTCGGTGCCTACCAGATCCCAGTCATACACGGCCACCGTCAGCATGGATTCCATGGGGAAGGAGGCCTCGATGTCAAAGGACCTGGCGGGGTGGGGGTTAGAAGGGCTGAAGCTCAGGGTGGGGTAGGGTGGCTGGGGGGTGGGGCTGGGGAAGTCGGGGCGGGGCAGGAGTGGGGGCATGTGGGACACCAGGAGGCCTTACTTCCCAAAGACAGGGTTGAGCTGCTTGGAGATATAGTTCTCCTTGTCGCGGATGTCTGTCTTGCCCAGCCGGATGGCGATGTAGGGGTCGGCTTTGCCATTGATGTCTGCGGGGTGCAGGTCTGTGGCCTGGGATGGGGGAGGGGTGCTTCTGAGCAGGCTCCCCACACACCCTGCTCATCTTCCAGTGCCCTCACCCTCCTCCCTGATGGTCCCATGATGGCAGAGGGTGTGAGCGCTGGACCAGAGACAGGAGAATTGCTGTGTGACCCTGGGCAAGTCACTGCCTGTCTTGGGTCTTGGCTTCCTCCTCTATAAAAGACTAAGGGTGCCTGGGTGGCTCAGTTGGTTAAGCGTCTGCCCTTGGCGCAGGTCATGATCCTGGGGTCCTGGATCTAGCCCCAGGTCTGGCTCTCTGCTCAGCAGGGAGTCTGCTTCTCCCTCTCCCTCTGCCCCGCCCCTCTGCTCGTGTGTGCGCGCGCGCGCGCTCTCTCTCTCTCTCTCAAATAAATAAATAAAATCTTAAAAAAAAAAAAAGGTGGGAACTAAACCAGATGACCTTTCTGGGGTCTCCCAGTGGGGGCTGTCACTTTGCAGCTGCTTTAGCTCCCCCTGGGCTACAGGGAGAGGATCTGAGGGGAGTCTTACCCTGACCACATAGACTCGGACCAGCACATTGATGGGGTCATTGCTGGGGATGCCCTGGAACATGCCATAGGTGGGGTCATAGCCGGCTTCCTGGGACATGTCCTCTGGGAGTGGCACTTTGTACACGCAGAGGGAGCCCTGGGGCAAGGCAGGGGGGTCAGGGTGCAGTTCCCACAGGCATTCAAAACTGCACAGAGGGTCTGCACCCTGCTGCTCCGGGCCTTAACCCTTTAGCTGCTGGATCAGAGGGAAGCTCTGGGGTTCTGGAGGGAGGGGCCCGGGCAATGTTGAGGGTGGAGCACTCAGGGCAGATGCTCTTTTTTTTTTTTTTATCGGCATAGAAATACTGTCATATTTTACCAATCAGTGTAGCTGACAGTTCCACCTGACTGTCAGCCCTGGGCTCGGGGCTTGGGGTGGGGATAAGCGCTGGCCGGGAAGGGCGGCGCCTCGGGGCTCAGGGCCTGGGCGCACGTCCTTCGCCTGACCTTGAACCGGCCCACGATGCGCTCCTCCTCCACGGAGCCATTCTCGTCATCGCCTGTCTTGCCCCGCAGCAGGTTGAAAGTATGCAGCCAGTCCTCAAAGTTGTCGAACTCGGACTCCAGTTCCTTGGGGTACACCTGAGCCAGGCCGGAGGGACGAGGCATGACCACTGGCCTCTGTCTCACCCCACCTGCCACCTGCTGCCCCAGGCAGGACCCCAGGCCCCTGCTGGGTCTGCTCCCAGACCCTCACCTTAAGCTCGTCAATCTTGGGTTTCTTCTTCTCAGGGGCCTCGGACCCCTGGCCGGCGCCGGGGCTCTGGGTTCTCTTTTTCTTCTCTTCCTTCATGGCCTTTGTCTTCTCCTTGCTCTTCACCAGCCCCTTCGGGCCTGGCCAGAACCAGAAAAGGAGGCCCTGGTCAGTTTGGGGCAGAAATGATGGAGCAGGAAGTTCTGGGTTGCAGACCCAGATCCACTGATAACTTATTTTGCTAATTGGACTTCTCAGGGCTCTGTGTACTCATCTGTAAACCGCAGACAATACTTCCTGGCATGCCTGCCTCACACGGGTGCAGGGCACCCAGAAAGCCACCCTGGGACCGTGTACAGACTGCTGTCACGCCCTCTGGGCCAGCAGAGCAGGGAAGGAGCCTGGGTTCGAGTCAGGAGGCCGGAGCTGCACAGCCCTGCGCCAGCTCACTCTCCTCTCTGGCCTCAAAGTCTGTCAATTCAGAGGGCTGTTCTCTATCAGCATTTCCCACACTACAGTCAGTGGAACACCAGCTGTAGATGTTCTTGGAATGTTTTAGAAGAAAGGGTACATTGTGGTCAGATAAGCTGGGGAAATATTTTATATCATATCTTCCATTTAGAGACTTATATTAACATTTGCATATTAAAAGCACTGGGAAGTCCTGTGCCAAAAGACCTGTTTACTCCATTTGACCTAAGAATCCTCTTTCCCTCTGGAATAGCCATTAACAGGGTTCCATGGAAAAGGTCTGGAAAATGCTGGAGCTCTGGGCTCCCTTCCAGCTCTGATGTTCTGCAGCTCTAAATGTCTGTTCCTCACTGTGGCTGCTGAACTGGTCCGAGCACAGGCCACTCCAGATGAGGGCCTACGCCTGCCCCTGGTGCCCAGAGATGGCTGGTGATAGACGGGGACCCCCCCCGACTCTGGCAGGTCCCAGGCTCACCCTCAGTGTTGTCCACCTCCTCCTTCTCGTCCAAGTCAATGCCTGAGGCCTCTTGCTGTCGAAGTTGCTGCCAAAAGAGATGAAGAGGAGGGAAGGTGGGCTTCCTGGGGAGGGGTCTTTTGACCCCACACTGTGGTCTCAGACCAGTGTTAAATACTTAGAAACAGAAACTCTTTTCAGGCACCTGAGTGGCTCAGTTGGTTAAGCGTCTGCCTTCGGCTCAGGTCACGGTCGATCTCGGGGTTCTGGGATTGAGTCTTGGGGTCCTGGGATCAAGCCCCGTGTCTGGCTCCCTGCTCAGCGGGGAACTTGCTTCTCCCTCTCCCTCTGCCCCGCCCCCTGGCTCATGCTCTCTCTCTCTCTCTCTCAAATAAATAAATAAAATCTTTTAAAGAGACAGAAACACCTTCCTACTGGGGTTCAAACTCATCATGTGCTCTGTGTAAGTGGGTTAATAGAAGTTTATGATGTGTACAATATGACTAACTGCAGTCAGGAGTTTATGGTTCTTTAAATTGTGTATCATTTAAAAATAAAATGCACTTTAATGTTGATTCTTAGTGGTATTATTCTTTTTTTAATGTGGAAAAGTAACTGACTCAGTGTTTTCTTTCCCCAAAGTCCATCCCACCTGCTGGAAACGAAATCACGGGGTTTCAACCAGGGCGCCACCTGGTGGCAGCCTGTGCAAATGATAGGAGTAGAGACAAGGAGACAACAGGCCGCCCCTTGGAGCTCCAGCGCGGCCAGCTTGAATCCAGCTGGGAAAAGGTACCACTAGGCGACCCCCAATTATCTGCCCTCGTACTCTTTAGAAGCTTTTCTGGACACACAGGTATGTAGCCTGAGACTACATTTCCCAGCCTCCCTTGCAGCTAACTGTGGCCGAGGGACTCGATCCTGGCCAACACGAGTGGAAATGATATGTGCGGGTCCTGGGTTCAGCCCTGAAGGAGTGTGCTTCCACTTCTCTTTACCCCTTCCTGTGCTCTGGTATTAGGAACTGAGGGTGCGCCATCTCTAACCACACAGACGCCAGCAACAAGTGGCAGGGTCTTAGTATCTGCCACTGTGCTGTCCCCGTACCACCCTAACGCCACCCTGAGACTGGCCGGGGAGGGCGGTGCCTCGGGGCTCAGGGCCTGGGCGCATTATGTGAGAAAGAAAGAAGCTTCTGTCTTCTTCACACCCATCTAACTTGCTAGAGCAGCTTAGCCGGCTAACCTAATGTGGACGGTAAACATCACCCACAGCCTGGGTCACCGAAAGGGCCTGGCGGGGAGAGAGGGTGGCTGGATCAGCTCAGGCCCAACCGAGGAAACACACCACAAGCGCACATCCCTTCTGGTCAGTTGGTAAGTCAGGGAGTGCCCTGAGCTGGGTAGGCAGGGTGGAGAGAGACAAACGAGGAAGAGGAGAAATGCGTTTTCTGGAACATGCGATCAGCCTCAGCAGGCAGAAGCTGCGTGCACACAGTAGGGGCAGAACATTCCACAGCCACAATGACACAGATGTGTAGAGCGAAGCAGTATGGAGAGGTGCAAGTCCTACCAAGAAATCCTTGCTCCCTCTGGACCTCCCACAGTACCTAGGATGGTGTCTGACTCATCACATACACTGAGGAGATGTTTGTGGTATAAAAGAGTGAAGACAAGAGAAAACCTAGCCAGGGAAGGTAGACTGGACCACCATCTTGGAAAAGGTGGGTCCTGAGCTAGAACTTCAAGGATGTGAGACGAATCTGTTCTAAGCTCATGTTAATGCAGTGGGGAACCAGCTCTGGTGGGGAACGGGAAAGAAGCTGGATAGGAGGGGCTGATGTGGGGTCGGGGTCAACTCCCCTAGCCCTATTCCTCCTTGGCTCCCCAGCCCAGGCGTGAGGCCTTACCTCCCTCATGGTGTCAATGGAAGCAAAGTACTTGGACCACCAGTCCAGCGTGCTCTCATCTGGCTCCTCTTCCTCTGGCTCTTCTGAGCTGCCCTTCTTCTTCTTTTTCTTCTTCTCCTTCTCCTCATCAGCCTGGAGGGTTGGCCGGGTCCAGAATCCTGCCTACAGCCCTGCTCCCTGGCCATTCTCTGACCCTGGACCCTCCAAGGGTCCCCCATCCCTTCTGACTATTTACTTCTGGGAAGCCCTAGACTCCGCGAGGCTCCTAGGGGTGACCAGTGACAAAGGGGGCGGGGCCTTGTTTTGTGGAGGAGGGTACCACAGCCCAGAGAGGGTCATGACTTGCCAATTCGAGCCACTGGCCAAGGCGCTACTGGCACTCAGGGGCTTGGCTGCCTGAGTACGTCTCTCCCTCTGCCTCTTTGGAGGAGTGTGCTGGTCCCAAGCATCCGGGGGCTGGGGAGTGGCTCAGTCCCTGATGCAGGGCCCCTTGGCCTGATACCCTATGCCATTGTAGGGTTCTCTCTCCCCAAAGCCCCCAGATGGCCCCCACACTCACCACATCCACCTTGATGATGGCATCAGAAGACTGCAGAGGGGAACCAAGGAGATGGGGACAGAATTAGCCACCAGGGGTCTGAAGTGGCAGGCAGGCGCCCAGCCAGGAGAGAGGAGAAGGGTGGGAGCTGAGAGGGGGCTCATGCAGGGATGTTCTCTGTGTGAGCCCCTGTGCTCTGCGGGCTTAGCCCTGACAAGAGCCTACTGCCTGAAGAGCCTGCGAAAGGTCTGCTTCGCAGATGTTTCTGCTCAGACCTTCGAGGGTGGTGGTCCTCCACACTGGCTGCGTGCTAGACTCACAGGGGGCTTTTACAAACTATCACGCAGGCTCAGTCCCACGCTAGCTGGGCCTGGGTGATGCTTCTCAGGAGCAGAGCCGCCTCCTTTGGCCCACAGTGCCAGGTCTCCGCTGAGTCCCAAGGTGGGGGTGGGGCACCTGCATAGTTGTAACTTCCCAGATGTCTTCAATGGGCATTCGGGCTTGGACAGGGAGGCTGACCCATATGCAGCAGGAGTTGGGTAATGTTGGCTAGACAGGGTCAACTCCAACTCTACTCCCCACCCCCCTTACCAGGGCAAGAACCTTAAAATGTAGTGGATGCACATACAACTGCATAGTTGTGAAAACACCCACCAGAGCCCAGGGTCTGGCTGATGCTGGGAAAGCTTTTTTTCACTGATGGTCTGAAATTAGGGGGCTCTCCCCTGGCCCCAGGAGGAGCCCTCAGGGAGAGGTTCAGGAGGGTGGGAGCTGAGGTGGCACGGGATCTCCAGGCACAGCCCTGGAGCAGCGAGCTTTCCTGGTAAGTGCTCCCTCCCCTGAGAACCGTGCCCACTGCTAACTCAGCCAGCTGCTGGGGTCAAGGACTGTGGGCCCAGGCAAGGTCATTCAGACCAAACCCAGACCTCAGAAGCTAGGAGGTGCCCCAGGCTGTGTGAAGGACTTGAGGTCAGGAATGGGGTAGAGAGAATGTGCTAGGGAGGAAGCCCACATCTGGCCCCTGGGGTCTCCTTCCCACTCTCCCCGGCAGACACCATCTCTGCATCTAAATCCCAGATGACAGGGTTCCCTCCGGCAGATAAATGGCCCTAGTGTCCCAAACCAAGAGGAATAAAGGAGCTTCCACCTGAAAATCCTTCCCCAGCCCAGGCCTAGGGAGATTGGTTTGTGAATGGCCAGGATGGAAAACCAGGGAGCCTCTGGAAAGAACACTGGTCTTCATGCAAGGAATCTACTGCATGAACATAAGGTGTCCTTTGTTGGAGTAAAAACCACCACAGGCTATTCCCTCAGACGGTTCCTGCTCTCTCTGTCGCTCATCCATGCACACCGCGCGCTCGTGCATGTGCGCACGTTCATGTGCTCACTGAGGCCCACGCAGAGTGGCCAGTCTTGCTTTCCAGGACAGAGCGAGGATGGGCTGCTTGCACACGTAGCCAGGGTTAGCCCTCCACCATGATGTGCCATGGGTTGGGGGGCCCAGGGCTGTGGGCCAAAGGAGGCAGCCCTGCTCCTGAGAAGCATCACCCAGGCCCAGCTAGCGTAGGACTGAGCCTGTGTGTGTGTGCCTTACCGCGTCCAGCTTCACCATGGTCTCCAGCTTCTTGACGGGTGCCTCCGGCTCCATGTTCACCACGACCTCCCCTGGGGGGTGAGAGGAGAGGCCCCCGTTGCACAGCACACGGCCATCCCAGAGGAGCCTGACTGGACAGAGAGATGGACAGACAGGCAGGCAGACAGGGAGGAACAGGAATGACAGGGAGAGTCAGAGGTGGTTGGAAGGACCAGAGGCCTAAATCGGATTCTGGAGCTTTCTGAGGCAAGAGGGAGGGACAGGGCAGGTGAGAGAGAAAAGACAGGCCTAAGGAGGGGCAGAACGTAAGCCAGAGGGAAGGCTGAGCGGCCGTGGAGTGAAACAGTGGAGGCTGGGCCGGGAGGGAGGCTGGAAGGGAGGCCTGGGTCTCATCCATAAACCAGCAGAGGAAGCTACCTGTCCTCAGGCTCTCAAAGAGCGTGGCGGGCACTGTCCCTTTCTAGCTCTAGAGTGATGGGCAGCCAAAGGTAGCTTGGCCCCCAGGAGGGGGCCTCTCCTGGCCTCTCCCACGCCTACTCGGGGATGCCTGTGCGTAGCCAGCCAGCAGCTTCGTGACCTGGACTGTGGGCAGGATCTCCTCCCGTGGGCCGAGTGGAGCCAGGCCTGGGCTTCGGGGCGTGGCCGTACCTGTGGTGTTCCAGCTGGGGGATGAGCGGTCTGGGGGCCTGTAGATGAAGCGCCGCAGAGAGCCGACGGCATGGGAGCCCACCAGGGTGTAGCGGCCGAAGGCCCGGCAGTCCACCACTCGGATGTTCAGGGGTGGGTGCAACAGCTCATTCTCTGGGAGGTCCTGGGGCGGGGGGGTTGAGCAAGGGCAACCTGGGCTCAAGGGGGGCACAGTGGGGCCACCCCCAGCCACACTGGCCACACCCCACTCTGCCTGGTTATGCCCAGGGCCTGCACCCACCACTTCAAACCACTTGACGAGGGTGTTGAAGTTGGGGTTCTTCTTGTAATTGGGGATCAGGGATGACTGCACCCCCTTCCCTGCACACTCGATGTCTACCCGTGGCCGGTCCACCTGGGCCAGGTTCACCCGCTTCAGGTCTCGCAGGCCCCAGAATAGCACCTGGGTGGAGAGAGGGGAGCCCCATAGTCAGGGGGGCCAATGGAGGGTGGGCTGGGCCACCTGAGGAGGAGCTTAGTGGGGGTGGGGCAGCAAGTCAGGAGGGCAGGGCCAGGAGAGCTGATGAGAGGCCGGTGTCCTTGCAAGCGGCTCCAGGGTGTGAGTGGATGTGGAGGTACAGACGGGAGGGCTGGGGAAGGTCCTGGAATGATGCAGTGTGACTCAGTGCAGACTGGGCAGGCGCCTGGCTCTGCCACTGGCTCTGGGTGTGATTTTGGACAAGTCACTTCCCTTCCAAGGCCCTCAGTCTCCTTGTCTGAAAAATGAGGAGTGGTCTGAGGTTGCCAAAGACCCCTTGATGCCCACAGTGTAATGTGTGCATGTGAGCCTTGATGGAAAGACAGTGAAGGGGGCAAGGAAGGCAGAAGATGGCAGGGCCTGTCCAGGGCAGGGCCTGGAGGACCCCGACGGAGCCCTCATGTACCTCGATTCGGTATTTGCTGAGCACAGGCCGGATGCCCATGGGCACAGGCATGATGGGGCCTCGGTCCATGTCCATGGGGCCGTTGATGGGCGGCAGGTCCGCCTTGCCTGCTGGCCCAATCTGGGGAATGGGAGTCATAGTGTCACACTCTCCTTCCTCATGAGTTATTTGTCAGGTGCTATGGGGAGACTGGGAAGGCCAACGCCCCAGGCCCTGAGACCCACGCCCCAGCTTCAGTCAAACT